GGGGTGTAGATTCTTTCTTGAGGCTGGCTTGCTAAGGAGTCCGTTCGGCGTATTGCGGTTTAGGGTTTAGGGCAGTTTAGGCTTTGGGTTTGGTGTGCTTCAACAGCATACGTACAGTCATTCATGCTGGAGAAATTGCAAAGCAGCAAAGCTGAATCGACGAAGGTGTGACCTCACCCGGTGCTCCTGTGCAAGCAATCTGTTTCCTGCCCTTAGACCCCCATGCCCCTAAGCCCAAAACTTTAAGCCTTACTGGCTTAAGCCGTAGACCTCGAACCTCAAACCCCCAGACTTTGAGCCAAAAATCGGTGCAGTTTCCGAGGAAGGCCGCCGACGAGGGCCGTTGCTGCTTCGGAACTATCGAGTCCTGGACCGCCAGGGCCGGGGTTTGGGTTTAGGGTTTAGGGTTTAGGGGTTTAGGGGTTTAGGGTTTAGGGTTTAATTAGTGCTTACTATAAAAACTCGGTTCCAGCTGGGCCTTACAACTCCACTTACTACAGTACGTCCCTGATCTTACGACTGGCTTTCCCTGGAAAACCTGAACCCTAAATCCCGCAAGAGGATCATCTACAAGCTCACGGGGGGACCCAACGGTGGTGTCCACGTCACGGACGTGTCGAACGCCTCGAGGCGGAAGTCCCAGCACCGGGGGAGACCTTGGGAGGTTCTTCTTCTTTTGTCTGGTGCTTAGTAGGGAATGGGGGAATGGGTTATAGGGACTACTATAAGGGACCTTAAGGGACTATCATAGGGATCCATTCCCCCATTCCCGACTAAGCACCAGACAGTCTTGTAGTACTGCTCTTGCCGTGGGGGTTGGGTTCGTGGTTGTTGCGGTAACTTGTCTTCTTGTGATGAACTGACTTCCTATGTTGTGGCTTTGGCTTTGGCCTTCGTGTGGATGGCCTCGTTGGAGGTGGCGAGGCTTTGTGATTTGCGACGTTGAACGTTGTGTTGTGCAGGGAGTCTTGGGCAGCGAGCACGAAATCTCGCCGAAAAGTAGCGCCACGAACCACTGGATTGGAGCCGCATGGAGATAGAGGACGAGGGGTGCGTGGTGAACGCCTTTGGTGGAAGTGGCGGGGCTTTTGGGTTGCAGGACGAACTTTCCTCCTGTCTCGAGGATAATGGGTTTCTCTGCTTAAGAGACTGAGCAGAGCGTTTGGTATGTGGAGCTCCCAACCAGACAGGTACATGTTGATGAACATCAACACCTGCGCCTGGGACGAGGCCTTCCGTTGCCTTCTGCGATTTTCGACGATAATTCTTGGGTGCAGGGCGTGGCGACATTCGAACTTAAGGCGTGAGTTCTCGCTGTTTTGCAACCCACGATCGCGAGCGTGAAGCTTTGCATCTTCAGAGCTTTGGAGCTTGGCAGCCCGAAGCAGAAATCCCAGATCCCATGGCCGATAGAGTACGTATCATGCAGCTTTAAACCGTGCTGGGGCTTTGAGTATGGGAGCATGAAGCGTTACAGCCTTCGCAGTGGAGGCCGTTTGCAGTGAGCTTGGCATCCCCGTGACCGCCCTGCCGACCATCCGTGCGGTGACCCGGAGGGAGCTTGGGTTTGCCAAGGGCTTGTTACCAGACTTTGGTTCCAAACCGTTCAGGGTTGAGGGCTTTAAGGTTCTCGTTTTCAGAGCTTCACGATGTTTTGCATTTGCGAAGAAGAAATAAAGCACGCCTCGGTTGGACGGCACTGCACACGAACTTTTCCGGCATGCTCTCATGCTCGGTGTCAAGCCTACAGGAAGCCCCCCTCCCGAGACGGGTTGTGAACCTGATCGTTTCTGCAGCGACAGTGTGCGAACAAGTTCCCTGCAGTGATGCTGTGCAGGTGGTCTCTTCGGGCAATGCTTGGTTAGCCAAACCCTATGCTAAGTCCGGTGTTCTTCAAAAGGATCCGACCAAGCCCTCTGCGCCTAGGATCCAACTCAGAGGTCTACGGCAAGGTGTCCAGCGCCTGCGCCTCGGAGCTTTCGAAGCCCCGCCTCTGTGACTTTGGCGGGCAGAATATGCAAGCTGGTTCGGTCCTTTCCGTGAGTTCGCGGGTTTCGTTCTGAACACTCCTCCGAAATATTGAAACTCTAATTATTTTTAGTTTCCGACCCTTACCCTCCTAGACCAAATGCCCAAACCCTGAGCCCTCTGCTCCGTCAGGCCCCTGGCTTGGAAAGACACAAACCCCGCCCCCCCAAACCCTAAACCCTAAAGCCTAAACCTTAAACCCTAAACCCCAAAGCCTAAACCCTAAACCCTAAACCCTAAACCCTAAACGCTAAACCCCAATCCCTAAACCCTAAACCCTAATCCTTAATTCCTAGACCCCAAACCCTAAACCCTAAACCCTAAACCTAAACCCTAAACTCTCCAGGTCCCTTCCTTGCAGGGCCTTGCCATCTCGGGGGCTTTGGGCGACCAGCACGCTGCCTTGCTCGGGCATGGCCCTGGCCTTAAGGGGGGGGGGGGTTCGACCCAAGGCCTGCCGGGCTGGTTTTGTTTCAGGTAGGGTTTCGGGTTTAGGGTTTAGGGTGTAGGGTTTTAGGGTGCAGGGTTTAGGGCTTAGGGTTTTAGGGTTTAGGGTGTAATATAGGCCTTAGTAATGACCTGTACTATTTTGAGGAGTTCCTTGTGATAAGTATGGTATAATATACCCCAAAACCTTATTATTCTAATTATTACGGCCCCTACAGTATGATCTTAGGCTTGGGGTCTCCCATGAATTCAGGTTCAGGTCTTTAGTAGGTCTGAGGTGCTGCCGGGCCTGGAGCTTCGGTGTTTTTTCGCTTCCAGGGCTGGCGGCCACTTTTGCCGCACTCGAGCCCACCCAAGACCCATGTTTGGGGTTGGGGAGTTGTAAATTGCTTCATCGTGTGGTGCAATAACCGGCTGCGAAAGTCTCATGGCAGAAGCAGCCCGTCCTGCTTCGGAATTGTCCGGCTAGCAGGTGGCCAGCACTTTCTCAGATTGTCCAACCCAATTCCAATGTCTTTATGAGGAACATTGAACCTCGAATAGCATATGAACAGCTGTTGCAGTTACAAGCGAGAGCAGCGCTCTGGGTGACAACCCTCTGGTTGGCCAAAATCGATGTTGCGTACTGCATGTAAGCATACAGTATACAGACACACATGCACGCATGCAGGTATGCATGCATGCATGACTGCATTGATAAAAGGCATCAGCTTGTAGAGTGTCCAGTGACCAGTTGTCGAAGACAGGACGATCTACAGCTTTGCACAGATGGGCAGCTATAGGGTGACCTTTGCTCTCTGTGTGTATGTGTGCGGATTTGCGCATACATCTGTTTCATATGTATGTATAGATGCTGTATACTTGTATATATGTATATGTATATATGTACCTGCACATGTTATCCACTTAAGTTTCTACATACACGAATGCATTCAAAGATACGTCTATACATATACATAAGTACCTGTGCATACACGTGCACACACATGCATACACATACATACATGTGCATACACATACATACACATACATCCGTACATTCGTACAAACAAACAAACATATCTTACTTACACATCCATCCACCCATACATCCATCCATACATCCATACATCCATACATACATCCGTACATACATACATACATACATACATACATGCATACATACATGCATACATACATACAAACATATATATATATATACACACACACACACGTCCATCGATCCATCCATCCATCTATCCTTACATACATACAGTATACGTACATGCATACATACATACAAACATACATACATACATAAGTACACCACATCCATCCCCATCCATCCATCCTTACAGACATACACACATACATACATACAAACATGCATAATCACATACACACGCACACATACAAACATACATACATGCATAAATACATACATACATACATACATACATACATACATACATACATACATACATAAACACCCACACACATACATACATACATACATACATACATACATACATACATACATAAACAGATACATACATACATACATACATACATACATACATACATACATACGTACATACATACATACATACATACATACATACATACATACATACACACATACATACGTACATACAGATACATACATGCATGCATGCATGCATGCATGCATGCATACATACATACATACATGTATGTGCAACATGCACCCATGCAGTCGAAGTGCACACATACACATACATACCTGTGTTTATACAAATGCATATTTGCGTTATATATGTCTCATACGTCCAAGCCGTCATAATCTCTTAATCTCTTGTATGTATACATATAGGTAGGTGTGTAGGTGAGGGTCATAAGTAAACGGCATAGGTGTAGATACAAGTACATATGAAACTACATACGCCTGTGTGCAAGTGCATCTGCACGCGAAACTGTTCGAATATGTTCGTGTCTATGCGTACACGAAATAGATATATGATAGCATGTACGTATGCATGGATGGATGGATGGATGGATGGATGGATGGATGGATGGATGGATGTGCAGATAGATATGTTTGCGTAGGCGCTTTTAATACACATACATGTACACCTTTGTCAAGGGTCTCTGTCCCGAGCCTGAGGCTGCCTGGACATCGGCACATCCAAGAACACCTATGGAACGGGTGGGAACCTCACAGTTTGTTGGGGCTCCGGATTCATGGTTTGGGGCTTTGAGAGGTCGTGGAGGGCCGTCGAGTTCCCGCTTTAGGATAATTCTGCCCTGAGAGGCATCTGAGGGTTGTTGAATCATCGGTTAGGATGGTCTTGTGGCGTTTAGAATTCTGATGCTTTTTCGAGTGCTGATACAAATGTATTTTCGCATGAAGCCTTTGCGTTTGGAGTTTTATTCGCCACACCACACCCATGATCGAATCATGCTGCTTGGCCTTTTTGTCTCTCAAATCGTCACAGGCGTGGCATTACTCCGAAGGCCGGTCCGGGCAGACTTCTCCAGAGAAAGAAAGGATGTCGTTTGCACAGCAAATGGCCAACCGAACGGTGGCGTCTGAGGATACATGGCTGCAGGAGCAGGTCTCGAAATTTGAGAAAGCTTGTGTGGCTCGCAGTGATCAGGGGCATTCCAGCGTATGTCATTACACGGACGGCCTCCTCGCGGGCTTCAGCGGTTCGTCAATGCAAGAGAAGATGCTGAATGTCGTCCAGAGTTTTGGCTTCAGCTCCACGGACGTCGATTGCAAATACCAACAGCTTGGCCCCCACGTCTTCGGATATGTCTTAGTGGTCAAGGCCGACTGGGGTAGTCTTCGCCCTGCTGCCGGAGGCGAGCAGAAAGGCCCCGCTCAGGGAGGGCACATCCAGATCTGCAGCATGGCAACAAATTGTGTTTCCGAGGAAAGCCCTGCGTTATCTTGTAATGTTGAAAGACGATTCGGAACTGCCACAATGCATAACGGTCATCATGCATGTTTCAATTCATGCTGCTTGCTGGTGGTCGTACTCTGAAACTGCAAACATGTGCTGGCTTGCCGTTGTGTACTGGTTCTGAGAAGGACACCGGAGTAGAAAACCTTTCAGGGGTTGGCGAGCTGCCTCGACTATGATTCGGGTCCTGTAAGCAACTGCTTTTAGCGACTCTCCAAGCCAGAAAGCAAGCATGTACTGTAGGGGGCTACATTAATTACCAATACTATTGTGGGGGTTCCTTACTATAAGTATAAGTATAGTATAAAAGGCCCCGAAACCCTATTCTAATCATTAAGGCCCCTTATATTACGATGCCTTGGTGCCTTCGCTCAGGCGCTCTCTGTCAGGAAGCTCGGCCAGTCGTTGTGCTATCTCCCTGTGGCCATGTGATGTGCCACACCTGTGAGCAGCAGCGCCCCAATCGACCTCAATGCCCGTGTCTCGCTTTCATCGTACTTTGTCGCTGTGCGTGGGTCTATCGAGCAGCTGGAGGATCCTGTAGTGACACTGGGAGTCCCACGAACAACAGCCTTGGAAGGAGGCCCCAACCAGAGAAACATTCATGGCATCGGTGAGTAGCCAGGAAAGTCATTTTTGCTCTCCTGCTTTACTACGGCATTGAACATCATGTCCAACTGCCTCAGGTTCTGCCGCCAGCAGGTGAATTCTGTGACACAAGGCCTCTTCCTCAATTGAGGAATGAGGTGGCATTCTTCGTTGATGTTCGTTAATCGGATGAGCATCATCCGCTTGGTCGTTGAGCGATTTTGCAAGACATTGAGGTGACTGTCGATTCTGGATCGATTTGAATCGCGATTTTTCATGTTCTTAGCATCGTGACTAGTATAGACCTGGCGTGTGTGAAGCAGTTGCTGACAGTCCCCGCTGTTCATGATCTTGCATTATCGACATTCCCTGCTCTCCATGATCTTGCATTATCTTTTCGGCCTCTTCGACGATTTGCTTTCTGTGGGGCAACAGACTCCGCCGGAAGAGTGTTGATTCCGTTTCTTTACCAATCGTGCAACATCCGATTCTAGCATGATTTGTGCGCGAAGCAGTGCTGGCTGCGTCTTAGCAAGATGCGATGTGGTTCGCGCGTCTTCCTGAGCCGCGGGCCTGTGCCGCAGTTCAGCTGGTGTAGTGGAAAAGCATGCTCGTGCGGATGCTTGATGGATAGCTTTAGGGCCCTGCAGCTTCGGATCCGTTGAGATCAAGCAGGCTGCCCCTACGGTAACCCCCGACTCGGCGCCAGAATCCTTCCTGCAAGGACTTGTTGTCTAGTTCGATACAGAGGCTTGTGAACTTAATTAGCATGAAGCGTTGTGGAATTGACTTTCCAATGAAGGGTTGTATCGTCTTGTTCTTGCGGAAGATTGCGATCTAGTGTGAGTGTTCGGAGTAGTGCGAGTCTTAACATAGCTAAAAGATCATTTCTGGCTTTCTGACAGGACTCCTCAAGACAGTTCCGATACATTCGAGCATCGGATGCTGGCTAATCACACTCCAACTACCCTGCCCTGCCCATTTAGGCTGCTTCATGCTGCTGAACACCGGCGGCGACGCGGTGCCCTCCAAGCACGGTCTGCTGACCACCATCGGCTACCAACTGGGCCCAGAGGCTCCCGGCCTGTCTACCACAGGAGCTTGAATAATTGTGCTAGTGTCCCCGAAAGTCCCGAGAAAGTTATATCAGAATGCCCCAAAATCTCGTTCTAGCTAAACTACATAAGGGAGGATGAGTGAAGATGAGGCCTCGAGAACGCACCGAAGAGATCAACGAAGAATGGAGTAGATATCGCGACTGTGAGCCATGATGTCGTCAGCTTCGAGAGACTCCTAAGGTCCTACACCCACAGTGCCCCCCTGCGCAAAGCATCTGAGACAGCTTCCGGCAGAGCCAGGAGAAGGTTACGTACGCGCTGGAGGGCAGTGTGGCCTGCGGGGGGCGTGTGGCCACTGGGGCTGTTGAAATTGGAGGTGCAGGGCAGGGGTTCGGGGCCTGAGCAAGGGTGTGTTGGAGTTTTGGGGCTTCGGGCGGATGTGGGGGTTTAGGAGGATGGGGCAGGCACTGTACCGACTCACTTCAGTTGCTATGCTGGCATCTATATAAAGCCCAGGCCTCAAGCCATCAAAACAAAAACACCCCGCCATGCCAGAAGTACCCGGGGAACAGGGTCGTTTCTGGAATATTGAACCACTTGAAATCAAAGGTCTTGAGCTGGAATTTGCCTCCGCCCCCCCCCCCCCCAACCATTCAGAAAGGGCTGTTGTGGCGTGTGCACTGCAGTAGTTTAGGAGGATCGGAAGTAGTGATAGCCGGCCACGGCTCCCGCACCGCTGTTCCGAAACAAGGCCGGGGTTTAGAGTACAGTCTCTTGTTCCCAACAGACTGCTAGCTCCAGGCCCCAGAATCCAAATCCTAGACCTAAACCCTCTAAACCTAAACCCTAAACCGCGGGCCTAACCTAGACGTCTGGGAGTGCTTCGCCGAGGTTCAGTGGCTCCGTGACAACCTGGGCATTATCAGCTCGTCGAAGGCCCCGAGTACTGGCGAGACAAAGTACTGACGAGACGATACTCCGGAATGAGGGGGGTTTAAGTTCAAAGTGTTATTTTTTAGGGCCGAGGGCTTTTAGTTCAAGATTTGCGGGTTGGGGATGAGGGCTTTCAGTTTAAGGTCTGGGGTTTATTTAGAGTTGAGGGCTTTTCGTTTAAAGTTTTGGGTTGATTGTTTGTAGCTTATGGCCCAGGATTTATGGTTGCAGGTTCTTAGTTTGGGGTTTCGGTGTTTGGAGCTTCGGACATACCTAGGTTGCCCCGAAGAAATGATCTATTCCAGGAGCGCCAGGCTTGTGTTCGCGTTCCTTCCTTCATAACCCCGGTGTCAGCATGACATGCTGTGCCCTAAACCTTGTACCTTGCAGCTTTGTCGAGATGGATACTCCTGTTACGGAGATGGACACTCCTGTTAAGGAGTCTCCTTACAGTGGTCTGCTTGCAAGTTGCGGACTTCGAAAGCCGGAACCCGTAGCCCAGAGCAGCCCATCACACTCCTCAAGCCGAAACCTTCAGGATTTAAAGCCCTAAGTCTCTAAGTCAAATCCTGCGACCTGAAGTGCCAAAACCGCACGCCATGGTGCTACAACTCTCAAGGCTTTACACGTCCCAAGCCCCGAAAATTCCAGAAGATCCGAACTCCGGACAGCCCGGCACCCCTAAAGCCTTCAAGCCGACACACCGGTAGCCCTCTACACCCTGCACCCCTAAACCCCAAAAGCCCTCAGCGCAGAAGAACCCTAAACCCTAAACCCTAACCCTAAACCCTAAACCCTAAACCCTAAACCCTAAAACCCTAAACCCTAAACCCTAAACCCTAAACCCCAAAAGCCCTCAGCGCAGAAGAAGCCCTGAGCTTCAGGACGTGGAGACGCTGGCTGGGAAGGTGGAGGCCGGGATGTGCGTCGTAGCGGCTTCCGGGCTGTTTTAAGGGGGGGGGGTTTCGGAGTTTACGTTTGAGGGCCAGTTAGGGGTTTAGGGTTTAGGGTTTAGGGTTTAGGGTTTAGGGTTTAGGGTTTAGGGTTTAGGGTTTAGGGTTTGAGAATGCGGCCGTGTTGGCAGGTTTAGGGTGTATCGGTTTTCGGACTTCGTGACGTCGGGAGTTGAGGGTGTGAGGTGCAGCCTGGCATCCTAGTAGGGCCCTCAAGCGAAGACCCAAGGCTTCCAAAAACCAAACCCGTCTTCCCTCGTAAAGCAATAGAAAGCAGCAAGCAAGAGCTATGTCCTGCAGCCCTAGAAGCCCTAGGCCTCCTAAAAGCGACACATAGCGACACCCCAATCCTAACCCTAAAGCCTGAACCCTAAACCCTACACCCTAAACCCCAGACATCTCCAAACTTAAAACCCAAGCCCGTCTTCTGTTTTGCAGGACACCGGCGGGCTCACCCTGGTGCCGGCCTTCTCTGGGCTATTCGCGCCCCACTGGCGGGACGATGCGCGGGCTGTTGCAGTGGGCCCCGGCCTCAGTTCTACAAGGTTTTGAGACCGTAGATGGGTTTATAGGCAATAGGTTTTCAGGAATGTACTTGAAGGATCATGGGACTTAGCAAGAAGACTACAGCGAGGGTTGCAGGTGCTCTCCCTCAACTAGGACTTTTTGGTGTGGATTTAAAGTTTTAGGCTTTGGGGTTTCAAGGCGTTAGAACGGAGAGTTTTAGGGTTAGTGGTTCCGGGTGCTTGCTGAAGCTACCAGTGCATTACGCACCTACCGCTGCTCCTATGGCTGCTACTGCTTGTGCTGCACTGAAATTTTCTGCTCTTTCTAGCACGTCGTCGTCTTGTTGCCGTCGTAGTACAGAAGTCATCGTCGCGGTGGTGGTGGTGGTGGTGGTGGTGGTGGTGCTGCTGCTGCTGCTGGTGGTGGTGGTGGTGGTGGTGGTGGTCGTGGTAGTGGCAGTGGTGGTAGTGATAGCAGTGGCAGCAAGCAGCAGTCGCAGTTCCGCCCGCTGCGCATTTCAAGGCATGACGCTCTTCACCAGCAAGGAGCACATGTGCCGCGCCGCCTTAGAATCCACGGCCTTCCAGGCCGTGGACATCATGGAGGCCTGTGGGATTTCAGGACATGCCGTGTTCAGAGATTCAGGCTGAGGGGCTGAAAGTTAAGGCTTTGAGACCTTGGACTCAGGATGTCTCAAGTTTCTGGGTTACAAAAGGACGCAGCACAGAGGTTTCGCGGGCAGTTTGGGGTTTGGATCGATGAGCCGGGCTTGGGGTTTCGGGTGTAAGGTTGTAGACAGTTAGTCATGCGCCTAGCTGTCTGGGCTGTGATCTAAAGGCAATGGCTTTGATTGTACGGTATGGGAGTTGCAATTTGTGAGGCTTCCGTACTAACTTCTTTTGTTCATAGGGTCAACTGAACATATGCTGTGTGCTCAGGTACATGGCTCAAGAGTAGTACAAACATGGAAGCAAGTATAGACTACAGAAAAATGCTGGTTCTAGCCATAAAGCTAACTAGGGAGTGCTTCGAGACCTAGCTTTTGTTTTTCAGATCGTTGCTGCAGAAGCCTGTTGGAGAATGGAGTCGTGGCTCTGAGTTACTGAACTGCTTGGATCTTGCTGCAGAAGCCTGTTGGAGAATGGAGTCGTGGCTCTAAGTTACTGAACTGCTTGGAGCTTGCAGGCATATCGCCCTTGAGCGAGCCGTAAACCGTAAACACTAAGCTGTGAATCGTACTACATTATGTTACTCCCTGACGGCGTTTGTTTGGGGTAGTCGTATCTTCTCATGTTCAAGTTTCAAAACCTATCCACATACATCTTTAGCTCCTTCTCCAACCTACCCCCTAAGTTCACCGAGCATTTTGGTCAGCTAAACCTTTCCGGGTAGCTGCTTTGCACGATACTTTAACGTTTTCACGGGTGTTGCAGTCCGTCGACAGAAGCAGGAAGATAGAACTCCAAGTCTGTCCTTGTGGAATCGTAGTATGCCGCAATCGCAAAGTCCCAACGCGACCCCCTGGCGAAGGCAATGAAGCAAGATACCGGCCTTCGCATCCTGGACATGCGCGTGGACGGCGGGATGACGGTGAACAGCCTGCTGATGCAGATGCAGGAGGGGGAGTGTAGGGACTATAGGGTATGCTGTGGGCTTTTCAAAAATTTTATGCGGTTTCGGGTTCGCAAGGTTAAGGGCG